TTCTCCAAATTTAGAATCACTCCAAGGCTGGGGTTTGTAGGGTCCAGCCAACACCAGATATTCACAAATATTCAATAGGTGAACTTCTACTGTAGATGGTGTAGTCACTTTGTAACAGAATCTTAAAGACCGTACTTTGTGAGTTTTCCACAAAGTATTTTTATGTCTACAATATGCAAGAAAGGAACCCTCTCTAACCATTACAGCCAAATGACAATTTTTCCAATGTTAATTTCACATACATTCTTGAGGTGTACTTGGAAACCTGCATTTTTCGGTGTGCCCAAGTATTACGAAGCAAGCCAAGCAGGGAACAGCTGGTGACATGAGGTGGCTCTGTGCCCCCAACGTCGATGCTCTGGGAGAAGCAGGCCCGACCTCCGAGGGCTGACCTGCAGCAGGGGGAACAGGCACAGCCCATGCCCGTCACTGAGGTCCCCGCACAGAGACTCCACTTGCCCACGCAAACAAAGAGCTTCAGCTGTCCGTCAAGAGGTGTTTGAACTCAAAGATTTGCAAACAAAACAGAAAAGCACAAAGGAGAAAGTAGAACCAGCCAGAAATGCAAGACCAGACCATCCCTTCACAAACCCCTTGTCCCACAAACACCGTCTTACCGTTGTGGACCATGCAACACCCGCTATCTGCTGGCTGATAGTCTGACTCCAAAAACACTGTTAACCTATGTTGGCAGACCAGGAACAACCCTCAGAGCTAAGCACGTGACATACCCAGGAACATGGCCTTAATTTGTCACTGCTCCCAATTCCGGTGCCCGATTTGAGAACACTGGGTGGGGGCAGTGAGCAAGTGCACCTTTCCCAATGCCATGATGGGAGCCAGCAGAGAACCCAGGTGCCAGTCAGTGTCAGGTGAATGGCAATGCAGAGCCTTACCATTCAAGAATATTAGAAGGGAGGGGCTCAGCACAGATATAAGGCACCGGGTCCTTCTTAATTCGAAGATAGTCCTGTTTCAGCCGCTGGGTCGCTGTTGTTGGAGCTCTTTTATTGCTGTTGCTGCTCATCTATGGAAAACAAACATTTCTGTTTACAACAAAGGAAAAGGCACGCCACTACTTTCCTCACCCGCAGACAGCTTCAGCAGCCCCGCACTTTTGCTTTCATTTCTGCAGCCCATCATCATGCACAGTCAATCCCAGCCACCCAGAACCCAGGCCTGTGGGTTGTCCTGACTTGCCCACCCACTCAGACGCCTGCAGGACTTGCAGATTCTCCTTTCCTGTCTGCCCTGCACAACCTTCATTTGTGTAATATCAGATACAAAAAGTAAGGGAAAAAAAAAAACCCAAAGCCTCACTCCTGTCCTCAAAGAACCAAAATGGGAAGAAAAACATCTCTAATTTATTTCTTTTTAAAGATTTTATTTATTCATGGGCGCCTGGGTGGCTCAGTCGTTGAGCGTCTGCCTTCAGCTCAGGTCATGATCCCAGGGTCCTGGGATCGAGTCCCACATTGGGCTCCCTGCTCAGCGGGAAGCCTGCTTCTCCCTCTCCCACTACCCCTGCTTGTGTTCCCTCTCTCATTGTTGAAAAATAAATAAAATCTTTAAAAAAAAAAAAAAAAGATTTTATTTATTCATTTGAGACACAGACATAGAGAGAGACAGAGAGAGAGCATGAGCAGGGGGAGAGGCAGAGGGAGAGAGAGAAGCAGGCTCCCTGCTGAGCCAGGAGCCTGATGTGGGGCTCGATCCCAGGACCCTGGGACCATGACCTGAGCCGAGGGCAGACGCTTAACCATCTGAGCCACCCAGGCGCCACGAAAAAATCTTATTTAAAGGGTTCTAAGTAGAGGTGTGCTAAAGCCAGCCTGGACCAGTGCTCCTGGATGTGCATATCTCTCCAACTCTGTGCTAATGAAATGTTTATACCATGGAAATCAGGATGCACCCCAAACCAGCCCCCCGCGAAAGCCTGTTGTTAAACATTTTCCAACATATCTACCGCTGCACAAACGTGGATGGGAGGAACAGGGGAGCAGAGAAAGGGCCTCTCCCTGAGACTGGAGAGAGAGGGGACCCTTGAAAGTATGACACCCATGCTGGGAAGAGGGACAGAAGGAGCTACAGGGACTTGGGCAGCATCATGGGTCCGAGGAAGAGTACTGGGCCCCTGTGTACGGAGCCACAGCACAGTAAACGGCGCCTGACGAGGCTGGCCAGGGAGGCAAGGCCAGGCGGCCACGCCGCAGAGCAGAAAGGTTTTTAGGCCCAGGCCTTGAGGGAGATCAGACTTTCTGTTAGAAAGATCACTTGGACACGAGGCGCCTGGGTGGCTCAGTCGGTTAAGCATCTGCCTTCGGCTCAGGTCATGATCCCAGGGTCCCGCATCGGGCTTCCTGCTCATCGGGGAGTCAGCTTCTCCCTCTCTCTCTGCAACCCCATCCCCACCACTCATGTGTGTGGGCACTCTCTTCTCATATAAATTTAAAAAATCCTAAAAAAAAAAAGATCACTTGAACAGTTCAGTGAAGGTCGAATGGGACAGATGAGATGGCATGGGAGGGACAGGACAGCACTGAAGGCTAAGGACCAGGAGCGAGGCCTCAAGAGAAGAAACATGGCCTGGCTTAGGGGGCCCTGGGACACTTCAGCTATGCTCAGAGGCAGAGGGGAGGGATGGTGAGAGAAGACACAGAGCTCCCCACCCTCACAGACATCAGATCAGCTCCAACTCAAACTGCTATATACACTGAAGTTTCCCATAAGATAGCAAGGCAAAAAAGTTCTGCTGCTAAAAATAAAGTGTGAAAGCCACTGGTCTAAAATATGATAGAGACAGAGGACACGTAGGGGTACGCAGGAATGGAAAGGAGACAGTGGTGGCCAATCGGAGCCATACCTGTCCTGCTCTCCCCCGTGCTACGGACACAGCCACTCAGCAATCTCAGCCCATCTTGCCAACGCCCTGCACATCAGCGGTCAGGATCTCCACCCGGACCTCTGACCTGCACAACCCTGAAGTCACTCCACCCCCAACCCCCACCACAGTGCTTGGCCCTCCTCATCTTCACCTCAGGGCCTCTGTGTGCTCATTTCCCTAGCGACAGCTCCATCAGGTCAGAGGTCTGTGGACTCCCGCCCCTTTGCAGGCTGAATTCCCCTCAGAGCACTAAACCCCTAGGCGACAACCAGGGCTCAGTGTGCTCACTCTACACCCCAAGGCCTGCAGAGCAGTCCTCCACACACCACCGCACTTCTCTGGGGCCCCTAAACTTCAGGGTCTCTGTTCTCCTCCTTCTCCCATCCCCACTCCACTCACCCTAATGCAGGGTCCCACTATTGTTCCCATTAACCACCACAACAGCCTCCCAACTGGCCTCCCAGCTTCTAGTCTCACCCCATTTCTGTACACTTAAGTCAGATTAACTTTCTCCACCCACAGTTCTGATCACAGCATTTCAAGATTCCCCCAGAGCCAAGCCCTTGACAAAGAAGCCCCAGCTAGCCCCCTCCTAGTTCCCCACTCCCAAATCCCCTCCTCATCCTAACCAGATGGCTGCTTCTCAGCCTGGTCTCTACTCGCAAAAAATTCACTTAGGTTCCTCCTGGCCTAGCTCTTCTTGGCCTAGCCAAGCTAAGTCCCTCAAAAGCCTCCCTGATTTCCCTTGCCAAATGCCTCCACCAGCCTCCCTGCGATCCAGCTCCACACCACTCAGGTGCCTGCCAGGCCCCAGCAGAGATACTGGTGAACGCACAGCGGGGAAGGCTACAGAACAGCCTGGAGAGGGATGCTTTCCCGTACAGCACTGCCCCCAAGCTCCTGGCCAAGCCAAGTGGGCCAGGCGGCTCACCCGGGACCAACACGTAGTAATAAACAGCAACAACCCCAAAGCAGAACCACCACACTGGACTTGTTTCTTTTAAATGTTCATATAAAGTCAGCACTCCGCCATATACAGAACAATTCACTGGATAATTCAAATACCACTGTGTTGGCACTTAATTACGTGGCCAGGCTGGATGCTTAATGAAGGCTACTGGACAGCCACACAAAATAGATGGATCCTGCCTGGCCAGTCACAAACGTCTCCTCTCATTCTTGCTCCCAAAGGCATAAACTTTAAAGTCACATTTATGATTCAACTACTCAGTTCGTGGAAAGGAAGGGCTTCAGTCAGTGATCTCACAGCCCCTCTAGTCTACAGCACCTACACACAGTAGGAAGCATGTCTCAAGTTCCCTGCAAATCCTACAGACAAGGCCCACAAAAGTGCATTATGCTGAACGAAACAGAGTGCAGACATTTAAGAAAAAATGGCACGAGGGGCGCCTGGGTGGCTCAGTCGGTTAAGCGACTGCCTTCGGCTCGGGTCATGATCCTGGAGTCCCGGGATCGAGACCCGCGTCGGGCTCCCTGCGTGGCGGGGAGTCTGCTTCTCCCTCTGACCCTCCCCCCTCTCATGTGCTCTCTCTCTCCTCTCATCCTCTCTCTCAAATAAATAGATAAAATCTTAAAAAAAAAAAAAGAAAAAGAAAAAAATGGCACGAATAAAACATTTTCACATACAGAAGCTGAAGGAAAGCAGCCTGAACCATTATCACAGGGACGAGTCCCTTCAGCCTCATATGGACACAGGCTTGCCACCTGCCCAGCATCCATTCCCCGTTCCTTTCTTCTCCGCACATCTCTTCTGCTCCGTGTAAGCGTAAACTCAGGTGACAGTGTGGCAAGAGACCTTGGCCAGACTGACCCACTGGGCACGTGACACGTCCAAGCCCAAGACTTTCACGGAAGTTTGTGCACCGGCCTGGGCGGAGAGCTGCCCCAGAGGTCAACCCTTCAGAACAGTGCAGATGACGAACTGCAAGTTCCGTGCCTACTCGACACAGCCAGGCTTTCAAGCAGGCCTCCTTCCACCTAAGCCGGACTACGCTAAGCCCCCCCCACCTGGAATGGACAGAGCACCGCCCTCCCGCTGCTGGAGCGCCTTCTCACGCACTTACCAGCGCTACTCCCCCTAGGCTGTGGCCTTGCCTCGCTCTAGCTGCTCCTGCCTGGGCCCGGAAGATGTCGGGCACTGGATGCGAACTAAACAGACCAGCCAGGCGGTACCGACTGAAACGGGGGCTAGATGCCTGCACCTGGCTGGGCGCTGAGGCTGCAGGTAACCGGCAGACGTGCAAAGTGGGCGGGCACACACGAGCAGCGGCCGGGCCCAAGGGGAGCCACCCCGGCGCGGCTTCCCGCTCCTCCCGCCTGACTTTCCCCTCGGTTATTACCCAACAGGCACAACCCCACGCACGCCCATTCCTGCCGGGGCGCAGCTTAGGGGGCTGCTTCGGGCTGACATTTACAAACCAAGATCTACGCCGGCTAGTCCTGGACGAGCCCGCAAGCGCGCCACAGCGGGGGGCCTCTCCGCAGGAGCCCAGCCGTGGGGCCGACCAAGCCGCCAAGCTGGCCGAGGAGCTCCCCGGCCCGGAGCCCCGGGCGCCCCGCCGTAACCGACCGCAGCTTCCGCGCACGGAAGCTCCAGGCCGGGCCCCTCGAGCGGCAGATCGGCGGGGACAAGCCCTGCGACGGCCCCGTGCCCGGGCGCGGGCCGGCCCCGGCGGAGCGGCCGCGCGGCCGCAGCCCGGCTCGGCCCGCGCCGCCCCTCACCTCTCCCCGTCGCCGCGCGTGGGCCGCCGCCGCGCTCAGGCTCGCCGTGGTCGAGGCCGGAGCAGGGAGGGAAGAGCCTCACCGCGCCGGGACCGAGGCCACCGAACCGCCGCAGCGCCGCCGCCGCCTCAGCTTGCAAGATGGCTGTTCGCGGGGCGGGGGAGACGCATCCCCGCTTCCGATTCCGGTGCACGGCGCTCTGGGCGGCCGCTCTAGCCGGCCGGGCGGTCGTCGCCTGCGTCTCGCTGCCACCTCCCCCCTCTCGGCCCGGAACGCCCGCGCGTGCGCACTGGCGGGCAGCTCCGTGGGGCGGGGCCAAGGGCGGACGGTCGGCGCGTGCGCCCTGGCGGTCAGGGCCGTAGCGGGTGTGGGCGGTGTTGGAGCCCTGGTCTCCCAGGTGATCTGGTCAGGCGGTCAGGGCGCTGCGAAGCATCCTTCCGCCGTAATGCTGTCCGGCGGGCGGCCCCAGGGCTTGTCAGCGGCCGATGCGGTCCGTCCCAGAGCGGGGCGCGCCGTCCCGGGGAAGACAGACAAGCCCAGGCCCAGGGTGACCCCCGAGGTGCCGGCGTGAACTCTGCTTTGAGTTCACTGGGACCCCGACTGTCCCACCGGCTACCTTCCAAAGGATGGGGCCGATCCGGTCTGGGGGGCCCAGTCCTGGGCCATGTAAAGGAGAGCACCCGAGGCACTAGGGTCCCCCGGCCCCATCGGTGACTGAACCCCGCTCGGGCCCCTGAGGGTCACGTCCTGATTGGCCTTGTCTGGCCACCAGTGAGGCGCGGGGACGGGGAGCCCTGCGAGAACCTGTGCCAGGTGGGGGTCTGCCCTGGGCAAGCCTGTCCAGCCCCTGCCCGTGGGGGAGAGCCCGCCTCATAAAAATAGTTCCACTGTTTCCCCAACTGAATTTTCCACCCAGCCCATGAATAGGGTCATTATGCAACAGTGGACGCTGCACTGAGGCTTGCTTTCTGCTCCCACGGTCCCCTCCCTGGCCTAGGGGAGGGGGAGGCAGAGCTGGCCACCTGGCCATGGGAGTATGCCTGAAGCAGGCAGGTGGGGATACTGTTCCAAGGGCCAGTGTCCGTGGAAAGGACCCTGACTGCGGAGGCCTGGAGCTGGTCCCCTCCACCTCCTCAAGTCTGCCATGAGGGAAGGCTTGGAGGGACATGAGGATGACACACAGGAGATCGTAAAGTTGGTGTCTGAATGCGGGGTGGGCGAGGCGGCTGAGCAAGCCAGCATACTGCGAACAGCCCTCCCTGGAGAGAAAATCCAGGACAGGGCCAAGTGGGGTCCTGGAGTGTCCCCTCGTAGGTTATGTCAGGGGGAATGCTGCATATCGACTCTGAGGCAGGTGGTGGTCATCAGTCCAGACAGATCTGGGGAGGCCATTGCTGTGTTGGACTGTCTGGCCCTGTGGGACAGAGCTAGGGTTCTAGACCCTTCACCATTACCCCTGACTGCCTCTCGGCTTGGGCCACAGGTCAGCGAGGTGACTGGTCACACAACCATTGACAGTGGACACCGAGCACCGACAGGTCCAGCCGTGGCCACTGGCAGGAGACAGGCACCATGCTTACCCTTGAGTCTGGCCCACCCAGGGCATCTCAGGCAGGATCTGAGCAGCCCCAGGCCCTGGGCAGAACCCAGAAGGCGTGCTCATCGTCCATCCGCAGCCAGGTAAGTCAACCCGCGGGAATGCAGCCTGCTTCTGCCTCCTACCACATCACCCATTCCTGGCCTGCCTTCCTTCTGGGGGCTGTTAGTTTCCAGAGCTCAGCCGCCTGCTGCCACACTCAGCATGGTGCCTTCACTCCTCCACCTCCCCCAGGGGCTCCGCCATCCCCACACGGGGCGGGCCCGGCTGTTTTTAGCACATGGAAAGTTATGTAAGGGAGGCCACTCCAGGGCACCTGGGGTTCAAGCCCAGGTGCGTCTGACACAAACCCACACACACCTGCAGAGCCCAGGCAGTGACAGTGTGGGGCTGGGGCCTCAGGCAGGTAGAGGCCCTCTCCTGCCTCAGTTTGTCCCTGTGTAAAATGGGGGTGCCAACTCATGTGGGAGCATCTTGATGGGAAGACTCAGCTCAGAACCCCTCAGCATCAGCCCCCAACCTCCTGATCACCAAGCACCCCTGAGTCACACCTAAGGGAGAAGAAGGTGCCCAAGACAGATGTGGCCGGCAGGTGCTGCCAAGACCCTCACCCTACCGGCCCCGCATAGGCTGCCTTCCAGGTCAGCAAGGCCCAAGCTGCCCAGCCCTCTGGCCATAGAGCTGATGGCCTCAGCAGTCGAGACAGGAGTGGGCAGCTAGGCTGGCGGCAAATGACAACTGAGACCTTCTCCAACCCCAAAGCCACCCTTTTGGAGCAGAAGCTGGAGCTAGCGCTCTCTGCCAGACTTCCTTCCCACCCCTCCCACCGCTGCCAATGGCCAGGCTGCAGGAAGAGGATGGCTGTCTTCTCTCTTGAGCATCTTGGGTGGGGGGGCCCACGGCTCTGTGTCGGAAGAGCTATCAGGAAACCAAGAGTGTTAGAATCAAGAAAACATCTCCCTTACCAGTTGCTGCTACCCCCGCCCCAGGGCGGGACTTGAAGGCCTCAGTCACATCTGACTGGGAGGGACCGTCTGGCCAGGCTCAAGAGAGGGTCCCAAAGAGCCAGCCCGGAGGTGACCAGGCAGGAAGTGTGCACACACCCCAGCCCTTCCAGTGGGAGACACCTGGCCAGACCCTGAGCCCCACCGGCCCCCAGCTGGCTGGAGGCATCTCAGGGAGTCCCCTCTGTGCTCACTGGAGCTGCTGCTTAACCCTGTGGTCAGTGTTTGGAGGGGGGGAGAGGTTCCACATTTGCACCAAGAAGGCCCCTCACCCTCCTAGAAGCAGGTGGGCCAGCCTCCAGGCCCAGGGAGGACGACCCCCACCTGCCCACACCCACCAGGAATCCGGTACATACGCAGAGCCCACGGGCTCAGACTTCACTTCTGTCATACCAGAGTCCCCTAGGACCATCTCTAAGCTGCCTCTGAGGAGGGGGGGCCACCCACAGGTGAATAAGCTGAGCCTGGGGGCCCCATGAAACAGGACAGCCCCAGCCTGGAAGGGGATGCCTTGGCACCCCTAGGCCCAGCGTCATGAAGGCTCCCACTCAAAGTCCCAAAGAGGGGTTGTACTCGAGATTGGGGCCAGCCATCCTACTGTCCTTCTGGGGAGAGGGTGGAAGATGTGGGACCACCCACCTGTCCCTTCTCTGAGGCGTCCTCACATCCCTTCACTACAGCTATTGAGGAGCGACCACGTGGGCCTACACTGTGCCAGGAGCTGGGGTCACCCTGTCCTGCCCTAGCCTGCTCTTCCCAGGGCCAGTGAGGCCTGGGGAGGCAGGAGAAGGGATGCACCAGGAAGGGAGGAGGGGGCTGCCAACCTCAGTGCCGCTGGATGCAGTCTCTCTGTCCTGCTGAGGCAGCCAGAGACCTCTCTGCCCTCCCAGAGGTGGGCTCTGGGGTGACCTCCTCCCCTCCCCACTGGTCGCTGATCCCTGGCCCAGGCGCCTTATGCTGGCCCCTCGGCAGTTCTCAAGCTGTTTCCCCAGGAGGAGGGAAGGGAGGTTTGTGCCTTCTGCCTGGATGATCTGTGACTCAAGCCCCTCATCATCACAGGCATGCCTCTGCCCCTGGCCAGGGCTCCCTCTCCCACAGGAAGGTGGGGGCTCCTATTCCCTGTGAGCCGCCCTTGGCTGGAGGGGACTCTGGCCAGACCTGAGCTCCCCAAGCCCGGGGTCTCCAGGCCCCTCCTTCCTGGCAGCTCCCTTCTTCAACCTCCTGAGCTGGGAGCCACAGGTCACTCCTGTTCTCATTACCCAGAGCACCCGGGACCCTCTTCTGCTGCTCACAGGCCTCCCCCAGGACAGTGTGCCGCCCTATCCCACAGAGGAAAATTGCTCAGTGGCAGAGGCCTGAGACACCCCAGGCCTGTGCTGAGTCTGGAGGGTCTGATGCGGGGCTCAGGGAGGGGGTAGCCACACCAGTGATACCAGCTGGCCCCACCCCTGAGCCTTGAGCAGGAAGAGGAAAGTAAGGCCCATTTTGCACTTGAGCTAATGGACTCCGAGAGGTTAATTTGGGCAAGGTCACACGATAAGTGACAGAGCCACGATGCGCATCCACAGCCAGGTGAGCCCAGGGCCTGTTCTTCCCCAGGCGTATGACTTCCTCCTCCCAGACATCACCAGTGACCATCTGCCTCCTTCCAAAGCCACAGGCTGATGACCTCACCCCTCCTCAGAGCCAAGGCCCCACCAGCAGGGCCTACTGGAAGTGAGGCTCCCTCCCTCATCCCAGTCCAGGCCCTCTGCACTGATTTGGGGTGGGGTGTCAGAAACTAGAGCTTGCCCCGGGGGGGTGGGGGGCAGTAGGGCCTGAGCCACACCCTCAAACCTGGGACCAGGCTGAGGGTCTGCTTATTAGGGAGGGTGAGACCGCCGGGTCATCCTGGGGACATGCTGGATCCCCCACTGGGGCCAGAGGTGGTGGGTCATCCTGGGACTGGGGTTAACTGGGTGTCCTGCCTTCAGCCACACTGAGGCCAAGGACTTCAACCCCCAAGACGGTGTGATCCAGACCCTGAATGTGCTGTGTGTTCTTAGCACGTATATGGCCAAGACGTGGGTGTGTCATCTTTGCGGGCGGGGTGTTGTCTTAGTAAGTGGTGTGGTCAGCAGTGGCCTTCTCGTCTGCTGGGAAGAGTGAACTGTGGGCCACATGGCACCAGGTGTCCTCTCCACACCCCGGCCGAGTTGTTCCCACGGTCCGAGCCTGTCCCAGTGGCTGGCCCTACACACCTGGGTTCTGGGACCGGAGGCCCCTGCCCGGCGTCCCTTGGTCACAAACACCTGTGGTCCGCACAGACAGCGTGAGCCGGGCAGGCATCCCTCGCCGCCTGCCGGAAGGAGAGCAGGCAGAGAGGTGAGTGGCCAGGGCACACTGCTGGAGCAGGCAGAGCTGGTGTCGGACCCAGGAGAGGCCTGAGCTTCGGGAGGTGGGAGAGCAGAGGGTCTGCCCGGCGAGAAGCCGCTGAGCCGTGCAAGGGGGTCTCAGCCAACACAGGCCTCTCCTCTCCCTCTAGGAACCAGGAACCGCTCATCCCCAGGGCTCTGGGCAAGAAAATCTCACCCAGGGGCAGGACCCCATCCCTGTCCTCATGGCTTCCCCTTCCGGGTCCAGAGTGGGTGTGTCTGCCCCTGCCAGCCGGGCCCTGCCCTGCCCTGCCTCATCCCACGCCCGGCCAGCCTGTTATAAACAGGAGGCTGCCTGGCCAGTGTCGGCCACATCCCACTTTGTCTTGTCACCTGCTGGAGCTGCCTCACCACGGGAGAAAGGAGGCACCTGCAGAAGGAGGCTCCAGCTTCCAGGTACCAGAGGGCACCTGATGTGGGCTTCCTTTCACATGCTGGGGGCAAGGAGGGAAGGTCATGTCTCTCTCAGGGTCTCTTGGGCTCTCTCGAACCCGAAGTGCAGGGAGTTCTGTCCCACACGTCACCTTGAGCACAAAGGGTGAGAGAAGAGGGTCACGCGGTCCCCACTGACTGAGGGCTTGGTGACAGGAGTGCACCCCTGCTCCTGCTGTGTCTGAACCGAGGCACCTCGGATCCCTCGGTGTGTCTGGGGCCCTCTCTCCCAGGTGTCTGGACCCTGCCCTTCCCTCAGGAGGCCCTGGAGGCTCTCAGTGGTCCTCAAGATCCCCATCTGCAGGGCGTCCCCTTTTCCTACCCTGGTAGCCCCAGCCAGGGCAGGAGGGGGCTGGTCTGGGCTGCACGTCTGGAGGAGGGTAAACATGGTTACTGGAGTCAGAAAGAACCTTCTGGAACCCCTTTTGCCTAACCTATAACACACAGCCGAGGCCTGTCTCACCTCGGAGGCCCAGTGTGATCCTGGTGGACACACATGTGGGCAGAGCTCTGCGCAGTGTGAGACCCAACGTGGGCACCCCCTGCCAGTACCTGCTCCTGGCCAGGCAAGTGGGAGGCCCGCAGACCTGAAGCCGGGCAGGAAGGCCAACCCACCCTCGCCTTGTACCTGTGGCCCCACGCCGCCGGCTGGCCTGCTCCCACACAGTTTCCCAGAGCACGTGGGAGCCGGCTGCTCAGGTGTGCCAGGCTGGGCGTGGGCTGGCTGAGATGCAGCGGGGGCTCAGATGCACCCCCAGGCTCAGCCCCCTCCCCAGGTTCCTCAGGAGGGGGCCAGAGCTCAGGAAGCCCCACCCTGGGTGCAGGAAGGCCCAGTGATTCAGACCAAGAGGCAGACGGTGTGGGAAGTCTCCCGGAAGCCCGTGTGGTGACTCCACACGTATTCGGGAGAGCAGGCGTGGCCTAGTCAGGGTCCCATGTCCCTGTGTGCTGGAGGGACTGGGGGTCCGGGGGCCCTGGGTCTGTGGCTCTACTTCTCTAGGGCCCTCAGGTCCCCACCACTGGCTAGCCCACGGGCCCCCTGCCCACTTTTCCTAAAGCCCAAGGTCCACAAACAGGGCTTCCCTGGGGACAACCTCGGTAGATGATGCCTCACCGGGTGCCCAGAGCACTGAACAGTCCTCAGGCCCGACCCTTGGCCCAGACGTGGCCGGAGCAGCCTGGCTCCGTCAGTCCCAATCAAACGTGGCCATCGTGGCCACTAAGGGTTGGTAGAGGCCATTGAGGCCCAGAGTCTAGTCTTTGTGGGGCCCCTAGACCTTCAACATTGGCTCGAGGCCCAAGGACACAATACAGTCCCTACCCCAAGCAGGTCACCCACCTGGCCTGCCCTTCCCTAGAGTCCCCTGCCCCACTTGAGTGGACAGTAAGCCTGTGTCCAAACAGTACCGGGCAGGGCTTGGACACCGTATTTCCTGCTGTCCCTGTCCCCACCGGCAGACCCAGCTCTGGCTGCAATAAGACTCACGTGCGGAGGCTGCCCAGTGCCCGGCCCAGTGTGGTGTGGGGTGGCTGCAGGGCCGGTCCCAAGCCCCCGATAGGGCCTCTTTTGAACATCAGCGGGCTGGGCGGTGCCGTTGGTGGCCGGGGGACACGACCGTCCCTGGAGTTCCCAGGGACAGAGAGAATGGCAGTCCTACCAGCCCGAGGTGAGGAGGCCTGAGTGGGAGTCAGGCCGGGCAGCAGGCGGGGGCCACACGGCGGCTTGCTCCTTGGCCGCAGGTGGGAGCCACGGCCCATGCAGCCGGTGGCTGCCCGACGTTCCGTGAGGCCCAGCGGCCCCCGCCACCACTGCTGGAGGGCAGGCCCAGAGAGAGGCTGGTGGAGCTGCACACCTCCTTCGGGGAGCTGTTCACCTTCTTCTGCGCCAACGCCACCATCCACGGGGCCATCACCTCGTCTGCTCCAGCCAGAACGGCCTCCAGATGGCGTCCTGGGGGCTGCTGCTGGTGGGCGCCCTGGGGGTGTTCTGCTGGCAGTTCGGGCTCCTCTTAGCACAATACTGGCGTCACCCGGTCATCATGACCGTGTCCGTGCACTCGGAGCTGAGGCTCTTCCCAGCCGTCACTCTGTGCGACATGAACCCACACAGGTGAGTGGTGCTGCCTCCCCACCTGCGCAGCCTGGGGGCACCTCCCCGGTGTGGTCGCAGTGGAGGGCCCACCGGCTCGTTGATGACCCCACCCCACTGCACCCCTGCGCCCAGTCGGGAGCTCTGAGACCTCTGCTCTGGACGGTGGTGGTGGGGAGGGTGTTCAGGGACCAAGAAGAGCCAGCTGGAGCTTGGCGTGGTCAGTGCCCCCCAGACACCAGGTGCTGGGCAGCCTGGGAAGGGTGAGGGGAGGTGGGAGGGAGCTTTCCAGAAGGGCAGCCTGCAGCTAGGCTTCAGGTGGGGGGCGGGGGGCAGGAGAAGGGAGCAGGGCAGCGTTCCGGGTGGGGAGGCAACAGGAGCAAAGACAGAGGGAGCTGTGGCCAAGCCAGGAGGCTGGTGGAGTCCACACGGGGGGCGGGGGGCTTCTAGGCTTGACCGGCTGATTCTGGGGTCAGCACCGCGGGGATAGGCACTACCCTCCCCAGCAATACCTGGGGACTGATGTGGGGGCTCTGACTGAACCCACCCCTCTCCCTCGCCCTGCCACCCTCCAGGCCACGCTCAGCCCGCTCCCACCTGCAGGTACTCGATGAGTTTGCCCAGGAGAATATCCACTCTCTCTACAAATCCAACTTCAGCGAGAACAGGGACGTCCTCTTTGCTGACGCCCGGCTCCCACAGCCTGCCTTCTACCTGGACCGCGGGATCCGCCTACAGAGGCTGAGCCAACCAGGCGGCCAGAACAAAGTGGGTTTCCACCTGGTGAGTGTCCCTAGCCCTGCGAGGTCCCGGCACGCTGTCACCCGGCAGGGCTGTGAGTTGGGCGTGGACGGACGAGGAGGCCATGCTAAGCTGGCCCCGCTCCCCTCAGTGTAACAGCACCGGGGGAGACTGCTTCTACCGGGCCTTCTCGTCAGCCGTGACAGCCATCCAGCAGTGGTACCGCTTCCACTACGTGAACATCTTGGCCCTGACACCCCCCGCCTGCGAGGACGGAGGCCGCTTTGTCTTCTCCTGCCGATTCGACGACCAGGACTGCCAGGCCCGGTGAGTGGGCGCGGGGCAGCGGGCTGCTTCCCCACTGCGGGCGTGGGTGCCAACCCGGGGTCCGGCTGGCTGCACACGGCTTCGCCCAGAGGTAAGGCAGGCCGCAGTCCCTCAGGCCTCACGCGATGGGGTCATGGGCTGCTACGAGTGTGGCCCCTGGTTCCAGGCACTTCCGAACGTTCCACCACCCCACCTACAGTAGCTGCTACAGCTTCAGTGGCGTCTCAGCTGCGCGGCACCCGGGCATCACCCATGGTGAGTGCCAGCCCCAGGCTGAGTGGGGCAGGGGGCGTCCATGCCAGCCGGGCCTCACCCCCTTCCTCTCCCAGGGATCAGCCTGGTCCTCAGGGCTGGGCGGCAGGACCACCTCCCTCTGCTGTCCACGGAGGCTGGCATCAGGTCATGATTCATGGGCATGACCACACGCCCTTCCTGGAGCACCAGGGCTTCAGCGTCCGGCCGGGCACCGAGACCACAGTCGGCATCCGAGAAGTGGGTGGGCCCCTGGGAGCCAGGGCAGAGGAAGGGCCCCAGGCCTCCCACTCCCGACATCCCTGCCCAACTCTGGGGCCCCCAGGGCTGGGACGGTGGGACTGAAGCACGCCCCCTCCCCTCAGGACGAGGTGCACCGGCTGGGGGGCCCCTATGGCCGCTGCACCAAGGGTGTGGAGGGCGTGGACGTGCAGCTGCTCTACAAGGCCTCGTATGCCCTGCAGGTGAGTGTGGGGCCGTCGGGGGGGACAAAGGGAGCGTCTCAGGAGGGACCAGGGGAGGCCAGGAGAGAGGTGGTCAGGGGAGGGGGATCTGGAGTCTGGGGGGGGTGGCCCCGGGAGAGGGAGGCCAGGGGAGGTTTGGGGCAGGGCCCAGCGGAGGTGGAGGCCAGCGGAGATGGAGCTGGGGAATTGGGGGGCAGGAATGCCCAGGGGAAGGGGTGGCCGAGGGGGAGGGGAGTGGGGGAGGGTGTAGGGAGGGCAGGTGCAGTGCTGAGAGGGAGGTGAACCAGGCCCTCCTGCGAGCCCTGGAGGAGGGATGTCCGGCCCCAGGACCTTCAGCTCATGTCCCCCGCTGTCCCCCCAGGCCTGCCTCGTGTCCTGCTTTCAGCAGCTAATGGTGGAGACCTGCTCCTGCGGCTACTACTTCTACCCCCTGCCATCAGGGGCCGAGTACGGCAGCTACGCCAGGCACCCGGCCTGGGGTGAGACCCCCCGCCCCCGGCCACTGGGGTGGAGTGCGGCCAGGCACTGTCAACCTGCAACCTCTCCTCCACCCCACATCGGCCTAGTGGGTTCATCTGTGACACACAAACCCCGCCAGGTCATTGCTTCTACTGCCTCTACAAGGACCTGGGGACCCACCGGCTTCCCTGTACCTCACGCTGCCCCAGGCCCTGCAGGTGAGTGGCAAGTGTGGGGGCTCGGGGTCAGGGGTTACTGCCACAGCACCCCAGCAGGAGCGTAAGGGGGTCTGTCTCTCCCAGGGAGTCTTTCTACAAGCTCTCTGCCAGGACCTCCAGATGGCCTTCCTCCAAGTCAGCCGTGAGTGCCCCGAAGGGGTGGGTAAGGGGCAGGCAAGCAGGTGGGTCTCACAGGTCCCAAAGGCTCACCCTGGACCAGCTGTGCTCTGTGGTCCCTGCTCTTAACACTGGCTGCACAGCGCCCTGAGGGCTGCGAGAAGCTGCAGCCCCAGTGAGCCTTTTCTGTGCACAGGACTGGATCCTGGCCGTGCTGGGCAAGCGACGCCACAGGAGCCTGAGCCAGAGCCCAGGCCTCAGGTGGGTGCACTCCCCCTCCAGAGGCCCCTCCCTCTGCCAACCTTGTCCTCAGTACCCCAAAGAGGGGCCCTGCCGTGTGGGCCCAGGGCCCAGCCCCTCACACCTCTGCCTTGCCCGAGGAGCAACGTGGCCAAGGTGAACATCTTCTACCAGGAGCTCAACTACCGTACGGTGGACGAGACGCCCGTTTACTCGGTGAGCCAGCTGTGAGCCAGGGGCTGTGGTGGGGGCAGGACCGGCGGCTGGCCAGCCTGGGGCACAGCCCCGTGCACCTGCTGACCGCCCACTGGGGCCTGCAGGTGCCCCAGCTGCTTTCAGCCACGGGCAGCCTCTGGAGCCTGTGGTTCGGCTCATCGGTCCTCTCTGTCCTGGAGCTGCTGGAGCTGCTGCTCGACGCCATAGCCCTCATGCTCCTACAGGGCTGCCGCTGGCTCCGCAGAGCTCGGGGGTCCCAGCCAGGGGCAGCCACGGTGCCATCCCACGCCACGCCAGAAGCCAACCAGTTGCCCACTGACCGCAGGGATGACATTAATCATCTGGGGGGACCTGCTGGCCTCATCTCCCACGACGCTTCCCGGAGCTCTGGCAGGAGTCTTTGCTGAAGAGTTAGGCCAAGTGAGGGGCCCAGCCTCCCCACACCTGAGCCAGCCGGACTTGTTCTGATCCTGAGGGACATGGCAGCGGTGGGCTCTCCTGGCTGCCCAGGGTGAACCGGACCAGCCCCACAGAGCCACCCCAGCTAGCCAAGCCAAGCCCAGGGCCCAGGAAGCAGCACTGGGGTCTGCAGGCAGGCACCAGGGTGCCCAGCCACCTGCCCAGTGGCGGCCTCACTCAGGCACCAGGGCAGGGGGAGGGGAGCGAGTGTCCCTACCACTCTGGATTCCCGACTCTAGTCTGCTGCGTAGCTGTGTGTGCGCGTGCGAGGCGGGGGGGGGGGGGGCCTCCACAGGGGAGTGTGCCTGTTTGGTCGGTGTCGTGTAAACGCGTGTACGTTTCTAAGTGTGTCAACATACCTGTGTATACCTGTGTGTAGGTGTATGCAGGCATCTGGTGGAGCCTTCCTCAGCTCGGGGCAGCTGGGAAGAAGGGTCGGGCCAGGCCAAGGCACTTGGTGACCTTGGGCTGCTTTGTAATAAAACCAGCGATTCCACCTGGTGGCTACGGTATGTGTTCCTCCCCGGTTACCCTTCCTGCGTGAGCGGAAAGCCCCGGGCTGAACCTCCACACTCCTTGGAACCACAAACACACTGTGGGGGCTGGGGGGCTGGGGGACAGGAGGACACGGTGCCCACGGCCAGCTTGCAGGGTCAGGGCTTGCCCAGGAGACGGGACCAGCCCCAGACCACCCTCCCTGGTTAGCATCCACCTCTACTACTCCCTCCAAGGGGCACGCTCCAGGCCACAGAAAGGCAGAGGGGCGAGGGGCTGGGGGCTGGGGGTGTAGGGAGTCAGTTTCCATCAGAGAAGCCCCAGGGCCCTCCCAGGCCCCCCCCAGCCCAGCACGCAGGGGCCGGGTTCTGGCGTACTGCATCCTTTTGGGGCACTGGTGCTACCCTACTCAGGGCCACCCCTCAGGGAAGGCAAAGGACCCAGACACCCCCTCCCCAGCTGCGAGAGTGGAGTAAGGCGGGTGAGCCAACGACAGGCAGGAGTGCAAGCAGCAGTTTATTAACCGTGGTCTGGGGCAGGGGGCGGGTCCTGCCAGCCCGAGGCCCTGATGCAGGTAGTGGGGTGGGAGGCAGGGGCAGAGCTCAAGCAGGGAGAAAGGAGGGAGTTAATTCTGCTCTTTAGGGGTCACAGCCGACAGGCAAAGGAGTTGGAGGGGGCCTCAGTCAGCACCCACCTTGCCGCCCATGGAGCCTCCCTGGACAGCTTTTGCATAGTGACCAGCCAACTGGCCTTGGCCAGACCAAGGACGTAAGTTGGGGAGAGGCCCAGCCACTGCCCCAGGGCTCCAGGAAAGGGGACTGCAGAATGAACGCCTTGGTGGGCCCTGGGGAGTGAGCTGAGGGATGTGTGGACCCGCCCAAGGGCCCAGCGGAGAGGTGAGGCCGGCGACGGGCAGGCACACCTGCAGGAGCCTCCCCGGCAGCAGGCAGAGCCAGGGGTGTCAAGGTGGTCCTCGAGAGTCCACGGAGAAGAGACGCAGACAAAGTGAGAAAGAGGTCGTAGAAAATCTGCTCAGTCTGTGACCAAGAATGTCGGATGCAGGGGTGGAAAGTGCCAAAGTCCTTTATGCACCGGCTCGGGGCCAAGTGCCTCTGGAGGAGGCAGGGACAGGTCTCCGGCCGCCCAGCACTGGGGCCTGCGTGGCCAGCCACATGGCCTTGGGACGCCTGCGTCCAGCCAGGGCTGAGGCCCCAGGCCACAGCCCGCCCCCCAGCACCCGAGAAGCCCAGCCTGGATGCCGGTCACTAAGTGAGGTACACGGGTTGATTCCCTGGATGGGCTGCCCTTCTGCCCTCAAAAGGCGCTGGTGGCCAGCCACCAGCCCCAGGGCCTAGCAGAGGGGCTCTGGGGGTGTGTAGGAGGGACCCAACTAGCAGGTCAGTGTTCTACGGCAGTAAAGGTGGGGGCACGAGGTGACACAAGCCCTGAAGGCAGAGGACAGAAGTGACACAGGTCCTAGGATGGACGGAGGGGCACAAGGTGACACTGGGCCTTCAGAGTAGTTTGTGACATGAGCAACCCAGGTGCCCAAGAAAGGGGTCACCTGAAGACACGGGGTCCCCAGGTGTGGTGAGGGGCACCAGGCGACGCAGCACCTCCCAGGGGGGAAATGTGGGGCTTCTTAAGACTCAGTGCTGGGGTCTCTCCCAGCCCGAGGGGCCGGGGCAGCTCCGAGGAGGGCAGAGCAGGCAGCCAGGGCTCCAGGGCCACACAGGCCCTGGGGCTCTCAAGAAATGGGCCCGTGGCCACCACAGGCAGGGCAGGCAGGCGGGGGGACAGGGCGGTCCAGACCCGGGCCGCCCCGCCCTAGCTCTCCTCCAGGTGGAGGCTGATGAACTCCTGGATGCACCTGCGGTACTGGAGCTCCGTGGGGCTGCTACCCGCCAGGGGGCCTGGCTGGCCCGGGGGCGCCTCGGCCTCTCGCATCTCCTCAGCCATGCGCGCCAGACGGAGCCTGGGGGAGGTGCGGTTTGAGGCCGAGCCGGAGCCCCTTCGGCCCCCTTGCCCCGCACCGCCGCGCGCAGCCCCCGAGCCCCGCCCCCAGGGCCCCGCCCACGCTCACAGCGTGACTATGTCTGCGTTTGCCTCCTGGATCGCGATGCTCAGCGGGTCCTGCTGCTCGTGGTCCAAGGCATGCTGGTCAGCTCCCCGCTTCAAGAACAGGCAGACCTGACTGAAGGGTGGGGGGGACAAGTCGGGGCCGGCCCGGGGCGGGTGAGGCGAGCCCCCGCCCCCCACCCCAGGGCAGGAGGGGCGCCGGAGACTCACCCCGTGCGCCCCAGGAGTGTGGCGTGGTGCAAGGGCGCCCGGCCCCGGCTGTCTCTTTGGTTCACGTCTGCTCCGTTTTGCAGAAGGAATTCACAGACAATCAAGGAGCCCTGGGGAACCGAGGACAGTTCAGACTCACCTGGGAAATGGCCCCTCGCTGGTCTCCAGGAGGGGACAAGGGGTCCTCGCATTCGTGCCATAAGAAAGAGCCCTGAAGATGCATCTGTCCCGCGCAGCCCCCGCCCCCCGCGCCTGCTCACCCCTAGCACAGCCTGCACCAATGGCGTCTTGCCCTCGTCCTCCGTGTCCGCCCAGTTGACCTCCGCCCCGTGCGCCAGTGCCGTGGCCAGCGCAGGGAGGTCTCGGGTGCGCGCCGCACGGTGCGCCAGGAGCCCGGGGTGCAGCTCACGCACGTCTGCCAGGCCCCAGGCCTCAGGCTCTCCGTCCGCCTCACCGCTGGAGTCCTCAGACTCTGCACCCTCTACGGGGAGGGGAGGGGTACGGTCAGGGGCTGCGACATGGCCTGGAGTGGGGTTGGGGGAGGGCGGGGGCTGGGCTGCAGCGGAGGCAGGGAGGCGCGCACCCACCCTCCTCGGTGACGCTGTCCACCACGGAGCCTGCGCCGAAGGCCAGAACGTCCGAGCTGCCGTCAGAGCTGCCCCCTAAGCCACTGTCGCTGCTCAGACCTGCGGGGTCCAGGGACAGATGGAGACCCTTAGAGTCCCTGACTCCTCCCAGAGCTCTGCTGGAAGGCTAGAACTCCCATCCATCCTCCAGGGAATGCCCCAGGAACAGAATCAGCCCTCACTAGGGGAGGGGAGCCCTGCCTAGGATGGGGCAAAAGGGGAGAAAACAGCTCAAAGGAGCCAAAGTAATGCACCCAAGAGCCCAGCCCCCGGGGAAGCCCACCCTGTGGCAGGTCGGCCCTAGCAGGATGGATGGGCTGAAACAGAGCCATGCGTAGTCAGTGGGCATTCTGCTCTGTTTGTGGCGAGTGCATGCTGCAAGTTCACTGGGGACACCCCCAACCCCACCCCTCCCCCAAAACACTGAGCGGAATCTCAGATGGCTTACCCAAGGGTAGCCCCAGCCTCAGGAATGGTGAGGCAGCGCCCTCTGCTGCCGGAGGGCACCCCCTGGTCACCGCCCCCAGCCCTGTCAGTTCTTGGCCTGGGTCCATGCCTTCGGCCTACACTGCCCAGGGAGGTTCTACAGGTGCCCCAGACCACTGGGTGCCGATAAATCATTAACAGGAAGCCCTTGGTGGGAAACCCCGCTTGTCGCATTTGGCTCCCAACTCCAAGAGGAGCTGGGAGAGATGCACAATTGTCTCTCACAGGCTGGCTCCAGCACACAACCGTCCAGGCCCCCAGCATGCACGCGCACACATACACACGGGGCCCTCAGCACACACACCTACGTACATGCCTGTATGCACATTCAGCCACGTATCCATATACACCCACGTGCACTCACATACACATACTTACTCTGGTGGGCATACCACACACGCAATTCGCACACATCACTATTGAGGTTCATGGCCTCAGCCTCCAACTCAGTGGCCAAGTAACCCCAGACCCTCGAGATGCTATCTCAGCCTTAGCCCTGCTTGACCCCCAAACTCTCTCCAGCCCCGACCCAGTACTTCCTGCAAGGAACACCGGACCCTCCAGTCTGAGGAACTGAGCCAAGGGAAGAGGGCAGCGGGTGACTAGGGACCTCACAGCACTTACTACGTGGACCAGCTGCAGCAGCCCCTGCGTCGAAGTAGGAGAAGAGGGAGTCCAGCTCATCTGGGCAGAAGAGAGAGTCCCTCCGGAACTTGCGTTCCACAGCACCTGCTGCGGGAGGTGGGGAAACTGAGGCCCAAGGCAAAGTAGGGTGCCCAAGTCCTGCTGGGAGTCCCTGCCTCCCTCCTGCCCTGCCCCACCCTGATCTTCCTGGGGCCTGGGGTTTGGTGGCTCATGCACCTGCAGGAGCCCACTTCCCCACCCTGCACGGGTGTGTGAGCAGAGGGTACGGCCTGCGGGTACCTGAGGACAGAGCAGCCATGGAGGGCAGGACAGGCTCCAGGCGGACCTTGCGGCGTGCAGTGGGGGCTCGGGGGGAGCTGTGGTGGCGCTGGCACTTCTGTGCCCGCCAGTGCCGAGGGGCCTCCCGGGCTGGTGCGGAGGGCGGCTTCCGCAGGAACTTCTTTTCCACATACTTGTCCTTGATCCAGGCCTCCTTGTCCTGCCTGGACCAGGGGTGGACGTGAGGCTGCACTCATGTGCGGGGGCTCCCCTGGGCCCATCTAGGCCGCCCCCCCACCTCACCTGGGGCTGCTGGCTGTGGGCTTCCTGCTGCCTGGCCCCTCGCACTGAGCCTCGTAGATCTGGTTCACGGTGCTGTTTCCCAGCTCACACATCAGCTAGCAGGAGACAGGGGTGCGGGCATCAGCCCCAGCCTACAGTAGGCCCGCCGCCCCCCGGGGCTTGCAGACCTGGCCGCGGTGGCCTGGCAGCCTGTGATGGCCTCGTACACACCTTCAGCAGCTCTGGCTCCCACGAGTCCAGAGTCAGGGACCGTACCTTGGAGCAGTGGACACCCAGGCTCCTGGACAGGGAGGAGGCAGGGTGAGTCAGGGCGCGGCTGTACCCCAGCCCCCCGCCCCCCGGCGGGCCCACCTGTGGACGCCTGAGCACTCAATGCACAGCAGCACACCCAGGT